CAGGGTGGGAGAGGTTGAAAAATGAGGCAGACCAAAAAAAACTGCAGGGCTCTACCCCCTATAATGGGACTGGGATTCCGCATGTCCTGTTACCATACCAAGCCAGGCACCCAGCTCTGTAGGCAGCACCCCCCCAGCAGCAGCACAGAAGTAAGGGTGGTATGGTAATGAGACCCATGGGATCCCAGTCCTGTGGCAGTGCTCTACCACCTATTTTCTTTTTCATCCACCCCATTTTGCGCCCTCCCTTGCTTTGCACCCTGGGCAGCTGCCCTGCCCTGGTTACAGCCCTGATGGATACAACTGTGTTGAAAATCTTAAGAAAATTTATTTTTTTTTTACTTTCATAACTCATGTACCAAAGCCCAGGGGTGCCAGAGCTATGAACTGCCAACCCTGATCCACAGTAAGCCCCAGCACAAATTCAGCACTGCCTATGTCTTATACAATTGTCAAAAGAATACTTGCTTTACAGAAATAATTTAAATAAGTCTTCAAACTGAAGACTATCACATTTCAATACACTTCATTTTGGTAATGCCTAGAAAGTGATTGAGTTCTCACCTGAGAGAGAATGTTCATTTTGAATGTCACTAGTGACAAATGTATCCAAGATCTCAAACTGCCTTCTGTTCATCAGAGGGCAAAGATAACTTACCGCTTTGCAGCAAAAGCTTCATAAGAGCGTTCAAGACTGTGTTCATGACTTAAGGAATAAAAGAAACTATTAGAAAAGGTTTGCTAAACTTTGAAGACTAGTTTAAGCAAAATCTCTTAATTTCTTAAGAGATCAAATTTCCTTTTGGACTTAGCACACACTTTCTTATACTATACACTACAATGGAACATTGAAGTTCACTTTCATTAATGTGCAAACAATATAATCTAAGTAAAGCAATTAACAGTTATACTATACTTCAGATTATGCCATGACCTCTACATGAACAGGACAAAGCCTAGCTTTTTTGATTTCCTAACTTTTTCAAATGTTTTCTAACAAACAATAATTCTACTTTTGTGTAATTATCAGAGTTGGGTAAATGCACTTTTTTGCAAAACCAAGTTTTTGCAAACTTCATCTGTGGCTTCTTGGTTTAGCTAATCCAATAATAGAGTTGGTTTGGATCTGGGTTCCATTTTAACTCAACCCCTGAAAATCAGAGGGATTGAGATGAATTATTCCAATTTCCTATATCTCAAAAGATTAAGCTGCAAAACTCCCATAAAACTTGTTACAAATAAAATTTTATTCACAGGTGTATAGGTGCCACTTTATTCTGCTCTGAGTTCCCATCTCCTCCAGATACCTGTATGTACTCCCACAGCATTTGTACTCTTTATTTAGGAAACATTTAGAAAACTCAACCCTGAAAGTTGAGTTCTAGGAATGTCGTACTTTTGTTCAAATTTCTGAATAACATATTTTCAGGCTTCAAAGCAGGAAAGTTTCAATTACATCAGACCAGTCTTCGAAAACTCTCTCCACATTCACACAGCTCTCTAAGATCTGACAGGTAGTCCTTTATTTATGATTCTGGCTTTGAGCTCTCAATCTTAATTATTCATAGTCACCTTCACATGCCTGCTGGAAAAATATTCTTCCCTCTTCATCTGCAGCATTCAATAGTTTGTCATCAGTGTAGCAATAGCCTCTGAAGTAAAAATATTGAAACTGCAAATCATTCAGAAAAGCTGCATGGATTATTTCCATCTCAGGCTGCAGTGCTGGCTTCCTTCATGAAGAACCCAAGGATAACCATTCTTTGCTGCAAAATAGAGATTGTTTTCTACTTTGGATAAACTTTGAATGTCAGGTGAACAAGGAGGTAAGGACATTGAGTTTTCAGGATGAAACTTGCCGTATGTCTGGCCCAGCATGCCCAGTTATGTAGTCCAGACAAAGCTTTAGCTGCTGACAGACTAGACAGGAATGTTTTGTGAAGTCTTGAGCAGGATGGATTTTATACCTCTTCTGTTGACCATCTCCGATCAATAGCTTTGAAATATGTCACTCGTGAAGTGCAGAGTTTATTAAGTCAAGGGAAAATGTTTGCTAAGTAATCTTTCTTCTTAGAAGTTCTTTACTGTTGATATATATATATAAGGTTGAATAGATGACAGTGTGTGAAATGAAAACCATGGTCTTCTCTTTTTTCACTTAAGCACTCTGGGGTATGGGACATTTCCAATGTCTTATTCATATGCAAAAAAGGACTTCAGGTATATTGTAGTTCAACACTTTTCAACTTCCAGTGCTTCTAAAACATTAAAGCAGGGAAACATGGAGACACTCAGGCTGCCAGCCTTTCTTTGCTCTGAGTCAGTACTGAGCCAATATCCCAGCATGGGTTTAGGGGACACTCTACCGCAGGCAGATCCAACTTTCAGGTTATGCATATATGGATCCCTAGTAGAGACAACTGCCCCTGCATTTCCCCTTGTGGTCCAGCAAGGGCACCCACTCTAGGCTCCAGGCTTCCCCAGCTGTCACCCCAGTTCTCTTGTGTAAAGACACTTGTTTCTCTCCCTTGTCCTAATGGGAATATTTCCAGGCTCCACAGTTCCCAGACTACATTTTGATATCCCCAGCAAAAGACAGGCTGCCAGAGCTCTAACTAGACATTGTAATGGCCCAGGATGAGCAAGCATATTTGCTCCCCCTGCTGAGTTTTTTCAGCAATTCTTTGCCCCATTTTTCCACCCCTGCAGCTTTGCACCTTGGGCATCTGCCCTGCTCGCCCTACCCTGCTTATGGCCCTGCAGCCTGCCTAACCAGGCCTGCTTCTCTGAGACAGTACAGAATGTAATTGCCAGTTAAGCTACCACACAGCTTTTTCTAAGAGAGCATATTTATTCTCAAGGTAAAAGCATTATAGAGGAAAACATAGTAAAACAATAAAAACCTATATGCATGCTAATAAGATTACGAGAAATAACCCCAACCTTCAACTCCAGCCAGTGTATAATCCTTCACACCCCCACAAGGATTTTTTGTAGTCACATGTTCATAACAGCTTTCACTCAGAATAATAAAACAGACTAGGCTAAGTCCTTCCAACCCATCTGGCCCCCTGTGCACAGATGGTCCTGTCCATTCCTTGGATCAGTAAGTTCTGAGCCAGTTTTTAACTCAGGCTATTTAACCAATAGTCCTCTCTTTATCTGTTAGTCCCTGGATAAGCTACTTTGAACCAATATATGCAAGCCTCTGTCCAGGTGGTGGTAACTCCTAGGCAAATTTACTCAGGTTGTAATATTTTCTAACTACTGCCCCCCACTGCTCTTAGTTCCTGGAGGGCTGTAGTCCCTCTCCCCCATTTTTTATTTTTAAAACAGTCAACTCCTAAAATACTTGAATTTAATTCAAAAGGATTTATGATATTGTCCTATCTATCACAGTCATTAAAGCTCCTCTGACACTTTTAACACACTAACCCCTATGTTATGACCTAATTGCAATTTGAGTGTACTCTGCCCCAAAAACACCCTGCAGTTTCTGTTAGTGACCCTGTTGTAGGGTTGCCAACCCTCCTGCTTGGGCCAGGAATCTCCTGGAATCACACTCTCTCCCAGTATTTTCCACTGAATGCATCCGATGAAGTGAGCTGTAGCTCACGAAAGCTTATGCTCAAATAAATGTGTTAGTCTCTAAGGTGCCCCAATTACTCCTTTTCTTTTTGTGAATACAGACTAACATGGCTGCAACTCTGAAAACTCTCCCAAAGGCTACTTCAGCCAACACGGGAGATTTTTGGGCACTAAAAGTCTGGCGCAGCAATGGAGCTAAGGCAGGCTCCCTTACCTGCCTTGGCTCTGCACCATTCCCAGAAGCAACCAGAACCATCCCTACCAGAGCCTGCCCCAGCCCAGAACCTGCACCCAAACTCCTTCCCAGAGCCTACACCCCCTCCCACATCCCAACCCCCTGCCCCAGCCTGGTGAAAGTGAGTGAGGGTAGGGGAGAGCGAGTGACAGAGGGAGGGGGGATGGAGTGAGTGGGGGCAGGGCCTTAGAGAAGGGGTGGGACAGGGGCTTGGCCTCAGGGAAGGGCGGGGGCATGGGTCTTTAGGTTTGCACAATTAGACAGCTGGCAGCCCTACAGTGTTGTCTTGCACTTTGTGGCCCAGAGCAAGATTAAAGTGGGGAGGGGGTGTACATGGTTCACACACATTCAAGCTTATGCAAGGCTCCTACTATGATGATGACTCCTGTCACAGGGAGCCAGCTGCTACACCCAGTGGACAGGCAGAGTGGGCCACCCTCCAGGATTGTCCTGGAGTCTCCAGAAATTAAAGATTTATATTAAAGCTTATGGGGTGATGAAACCTCCAGGAATATAGGTAACCCTAGCCATATAGGGTACAAAAGGCAGGGGCTATGGGAATGTCACTGCTTTGGAGTGGCAGACGTCAAGAGCACATTTCAAAGGGATCTAGGAGCCCAATGATGCAGCTGGGGGCACTTTCACTGTCTTTAGGTGCCTAAATACCTTTAAAAATCTGGCCCTAAACTACTGCAGAAGTTGGGGGCCGTGGCCTCTGTGGCCCAGCCAGAGCAACCAGCGCTGCGGGTCTGCCCTCGCCCTCCAGGCACGTCCCAGAGTCAACGACAATGCAGAGGCTACAGCTACCAGCAAGCCAGGGGCGTTCTGCCAGCCCATGATGAAGACACGCAGGCACGATGACGTAGGACTACAACTCCCAGCATGCAGCGCGCCCGCAGCTCGCTGAACTACGATTCCCCTCATCCAATGCGGCGCCAGTACGCCAGTCCCAGCCCACAGTCCCGGAGCGCTGCATGCTGGGAGTTGTGGTCTAAGAGGTGTCCGGGAACCCGCTCCCCACCCCACATTCCCTATGGCGGGAGCACCTTCCCTAGCCCTGCCCTCGTCCGGCGGCAGCATTGTTTGCCAGCAGCCCCGCGCGATTCCGGAGACCGTATTGGCCTCCGTCACTCATGTCTCACCCGCTCCCCTATAGCTGCCTCCGCTGAGGTTGTACCTGCCGGAAGTAAACGTTGCCGTAGTAACTGTCTCTAGGGCAAACATTCTGGGCGCCCCGGAAATGCTTTGGATTGATCCGCTCATGTGGAGACTTTTATCGCTTTAGACCCAGCTCTCATTCGTGCGGGAGTCACATAGCCGCGGAGTCGAACATTTCCGAGTATTTAATTTAAAAAATTAATAAAAGACAGGCAGATTAAGCTAGCTATTAAAAATGATTGGCTGACTCCTCCTACCAATGACCAATCAGAGGTAGCCACGCTCCGGCCGCAGGAAGCCGCACATGGAAGGCTCTGATTGGCAAGGACCGGACCCCGCCCCACCCCTCGGGGCTCTTCATTGGCTCTGTGTTTGGCGTGGTGCGCTCTGAGTGGTGGCTGGCTGAGCGTCTTTCCCCGCCCCGCGTGCCGGACAGTGATAAGGCTGGGGTAGGCGGGCTCACCTGGCTGGTGGTTTGGCAGACTCGGTGGTAGCGCTGTTCCTCTGAGCTCGAGGCGCGGGGCAGGGGCTCGATTGGTCTCTCCTGGGTCCGCATTGACACCGCCATGAAGCCGCTGTGGGGACTCGCTCTCCTGTGTGTCCTGCTCCTAGCCTGTGAGTCGCCCGCCCGCCCGCGGGTTCTAGAAGCTTCTGGCCAGGAGCGGTTGGGGCAGGTGGCCTGAGCCTGCGCGGCCTCCCTCCGGTGAATAGGAGGGAGGGGCCGGGACCCTCGGGGTAGGGGCGCGCGGCTGTTTGAACCCGGGGAGGGGGAGGAGGCGGCGGCGGCGGCGGGGGGGAGGGAGAACCGCTCTGAGTCCAGCCCCGCCTTCCCACGGCTCCTCAGCCTCTCCGGAGGATGGCGGGATTCGCGCTGGCTCTTCTCCCTCAGCCGCCTGAGTCCCGAGGCGCTGCGCCCCGCGGTGGGGGCGGGGCCGCTTTCCGCGGCGGCGTTACACCCCCCCGGGGGGGGGGAGGGGCGCGCTGGCCGGAGCTCCCTGCACCGCCTGACCGGTCATGGCGCTGGGGCTGCCGCTCGGAAACCTCCCCGCCGCCGTGACGCCCGCTGCGGGGTCCTGACAGGAGCCCCTTCCGCAGTGCGCGGCGCGGAAGGCCGCCGGGAGCCGGGGAGGCGGATCCGCGTTGTGGGCCATGTTTCTAACGCCCCCTGTCTCCCCCAGCGCCGGCTAGAGCGGAGGAGCCCGACGTGGACGGCAAAGTAGAAGATGACCTGGGTAAAAGCCGAGAGGGCTCTCGGACCGATGACGAAGTTGTTCAGAGGTTTGTACCTATTATGTTGTAAAGGGCTGTGACCCCATCGCGAAACCCTGGAGCTCCATGTGCCGGTTACTGCCTCGTCCTTCTTGCTGGCCAAGGAGTCAGTATTATGATGGGGGAGTACTCCAGGGCAGCGGTTCTCCACCAGGGGTACGTGTAATCCTGTGGGGAAACAGAGGTACAGGGGGTACATCGAATCATCTAGATATTTGCCTAGTTTTACAACAGGCTAGGTAAAAAGCCCCAGCGAAGTCCATACAAACTAAAATTTCATACAGTGACCTGTATATACTATACACTGAAATGCAAGTACAGTATTTATATTCAGATTTATTTATTTTATAATTATATGACAAAGTGAGAGTCAGTAATTTTTCAGTAATAGTGGCTGTGAAACTTGTCTTTTGTGTCTGATTTTTTTGTAAGCAAGTGGTTTTTAAGTCAGGTGGTGTAACCTGGAGGTATGCAAGACAAATCAGACCCCTGAAAGGGGCATGGACAGTGGTCTGGAAAGGTAGAGGGCTACTGTTTCAGGAAAAAGAGCTCTGGTCTTTTCAGTCCCTTTTTATTTTAAAAAAGCAAATGAATCCCCTTAAAAGCAGATAAATGGTAGCTAAAACATAATAGCTATGTGAAATGGTTGCTAGCTTGCACTGTTACATGTTTGACATCTATCATTGACTTCCTTGGCTACCAATCAGTTTCCTTCTTTTTGCTGATACTCCACAGGGCTATTATATTAGTACACTGACTTGTGGCAAACACATGCAGTACACTTGAAATCTCCATTGTATGCCTTGCCTTCTGTAGCATAGAGGTTATTGTATGTTGTAACTTCAGAGTGGAGCCTACCAGGGACTGGTAGGATTTTTGCTGAATAGTAGAGAGATCCAGCCTTTATAACATCTAATGCACTCACCTGTTATCAGGCTTTCCCAATAGTTTTCACACTTAGTGTTCCATAATCAAAATCAAATCTTACAGTTCTAAACTGTCATCCTGATGCCATGGTTTGTGGAATGTCTTAGTAACCTAAGATCGGTCTGTCTGCTGTAACCTCAAATTCAGTTGCTCCTGCCACTGGACTAAACTATGTAGTAACTGAATAAGGCCTAATAAAAGATCTAACTTTGTCTCCACAGAGAGGAGGAAGCTATTCAATTAGATGGCTTAAATGCATCCCAGATAAAAGAAATCAGAGAGAAATCTGAGAAGTTTGCTTTCCAAGCTGAAGTTAACAGAATGATGAAACTCATTATCAATTCTTTATACAAAAACAAGGAGGTAAGCAATATGTTTATTTAAACAATGTCAACATATATAGTTTTAGCATAAAGTTTACCATCCCTATACATATCGTTTCAGATTTTCCTGAGAGAATTGATTTCAAATGCTTCTGATGCTCTAGATAAGATAAGGCTATTATCACTGACTGATGACAATGCCCTTGCTGGTAATGAAGAACTCACTATTAAAATAAAGGTAAGAGCTGTTAGCTACTAACGGTAATCTGCTGATTCTTCCAGCCATTAGTAAATACCTTTTCACTTGCCCAAGCTAATAAATTTGTATTTAACATTCTGCATATCCCAGAGTTTATAAACTACTTCGACTAAAACCTTGGTACCCTACCATTGGTTTGACCATAAAATCCTCAGATGCCCTGTCTTATTGTTGTAGCAAACATTTATGGCTGCCTCTGAAGTGTGTCTTCCTGTGAAGAGTGGCTGAACCACTGCATTGCTTCAGCAAGAGTGTCTTCCCTTATTGCATTAATGTGAATCCATGCTCTACTATGCAAAAATCTGGCTAGACTTTCTTCATGAAGAATCTTCTCATTACTGTAACATCTCACCTGTAACTTTCAACTTTAACAAGATGCAATGCATGCTGTCTCCAAGTGACACTTAACTGAATTTACCTTATTCATTTTCTAGTGTGATAAAGAGAAGAACGTGCTTCATGTTACAGACACAGGTATTGGCATGACCAAGGAAGAATTAATTAAAAACTTGGGTACCATTGCCAAGTCTGGTACAAGTGAATTCTTAAACAAGATCACTGAAATGCCGGAAGATAGTCAGTCAACATCTGAGCTGATTGGCCAGTTTGGTGTTGGCTTCTATTCTGCCTTCCTTGTAGCAGACAGAGTTATTGTCACATCAAAGCACAATAATGATACTCAACACATTTGGGAATCTGATTCAAATGAATTCTCAGTGATTGATGACCCCAGAGGAGCCACCTTAGGCAGAGGCACCACCATAACGTAAGTGTTGCAGCTGATCCAATAGTAAGCTGTTGATGTATACCTTGCTCATTAGCATGTTCTCTGCATTATGAATAGGGCCCTAGCAAATTCATGGTCCATTTTTGCTCAATTTCAGTCATAGGATTTTTAAAATCATAAATTTTATGATTTAAGCTATTTATTTAAAACTGAAATTTCAGTATTGTAATTGTTGGATCAGGACCCCTACAAGGAGTTGTGTGGGGGTCGCAAGGTTACTGTAAGAGTGTGGGGGTCGCAACCCCCTACTTCTGCACCGCTACAGCTGGCGGCTCTGCCTTCAGAGCTGGGCAACTGGAGATCAGCAGCTGCTGTCCGGGAGCCTAGCTCTGAAGGCAGTGCAGAAGTAAGGGTGGCAATACCATGATCTTTCTCATCCCCTCCCCTCCCCCCACCCAAAAAAAAACTTTCAACCCCCCTGCAACTCCATGTTGGGTCAGGATCCCCAATTTGAGAAACTTGGGTCTCCCCTGTGAAATCAGTATAGTATATAGGGTAAAAGCATACAAAAGAGGACTTTGTGGTCAGTGATGCGTTTTTCATGGCCGTGAATGTGGTAGGACACTAACTATGAATCCTGTGCAGTAACTCTTCATTTATAGTGTCCTTACCCTGGAATAAGTGCTTTTCCTGGATAGGAATGACTTCCTGAATCAAAGCCATGGTTTAGGGCCTTGAAAATAACTACTGACTAAAGGTGTTTGCGTTTTTTGCCAATTTTTCACTTTCTTGCATAGCTTAAGGATGTGATGAGATATTAACAGGTATGCTTGGTCATGCTTGATTTCTAGTTTTCACAAACTTGGAATTTTGTTTTAGTTCAGCTACATTAGCTGAAAAAGTACATACTACAGTACTCTTGCTAAACTGCTAGTGTTTTCTAAAGTGGACTTAGTGATGGAGAAGAGTGGACTAGAACAAACAAATGAAGTGCTTGTGAACTTAAATACTTTAATAGCTGCAGTCAATTTCTCTGGTCCGCATTGACAAAGAACTTTGTGCTAAGCTCTGGTATAGGTTAATGCATAGTGTAGAGAATAACGAATGATCCCTTCAGAGCTGATCTCCATACTTGTACTGCTCTGACATAACTGGCTACTGTGGCTGTCCTTTCTGCTAATACAGTTGGCTTGCTCTTCCTATCTGAGGCTAATCAACTTGAATAGCAAGAACCACAAACAGAAACATGCCATTTTCAATTTTGTCAAACTTTCCATTAACTTCAAGTGGTTAAATCTTAAATTTTTGTCTGCTACTGCGTGTAAAAGTTAAAAATGCACGATTAAGGTCTCTACCTTTTCTCCTGTTCACTTAGTACACCTCAGATTTTACTAAGAGAAAGCACTTCCTAGTCCTGATAGCTTGAGTTGCAAGTACTGCTAGGAAGACTTTCCCCAACTTAATGTGGTGGAAAAAATGAAACAAGTGCTAAATGTAGTAGTTCCTCTTAAATAAGGCCAAACTACCTGACAATAAAAAAATCCCTCTGAGCAGCCAATCCCAGTTATACTCTGGGACTGGCTTGATGTGCAGCTCATGGATTAGAGGGTGACTCAACATCCTCCAGTGGACCCTTTCTCTTCATTTGCAGTATGTTTCTTTGGTGCAGCTGATTTGGGTTTTTGTTAGAATGCTAGATTTGTTGGGGAAGATCCTCAACTAGTAAACTTTTTTGACACTTCTCCCTCCTTCTCCCCCCCATCCCCACTCTGAAGTCTAGTAAATGATGTAGAATTGGTTTCAAACAATGATTGTGCTAAACTGATTCGTCTTTAAATGCAGCTTTCTAAAGCTGTTCTG